ATATATATATATATATATATATATATATATATATATATATATATTTGTCTACTTAGGTTGAATAAGTTTCAGCTACAGATACTATAAAAGAGGGGATTTGGTTTAAGGGTTACTTAAGTGTGCTTGGATTCGGGGAAAATAAAACTATGTCGTGTTGTGAAATCGTGTCTTTGGTGATAGGACGGAACACAGAGATATGAAATTTCGTTTAATGGTTTCAAAAGGGATAATTAGACTGGAAAAATTCTCTACTTTGGCAAATCCAGCTGACATGGTATCAAAAGTTCTATCTATTAATAAATTTGTGAATCACTTATTCTACCTATCATGTTCCCCATCATCAGCTCCAAAAAAAAAAAAAAAGAAAAAAGGTTCTATCTATTAGGGCTTGCTTAGTGCGATTTACTTGACTGGCGTGGTTTGCAAGCTATTGCGTGAGATCGAGGATTTACCCAGTGCGCACCCGAAGGGTATCGACTGTGGGTTCCCCGCCAATAAAAAAAAAAGAAAAAAATGTTCTATCTATTAATAAATTTGTTGAATGTTGATACTGCTCAATTTTTTGTGCAGCTGTGCGACAGTTGGTACCGCATATTATGTCATGAAATCTCAGAATGGTACTTATAGTTTCAGGTTTTTTTAATAACGATATCAATTTGAAAATGTGATCTAGTTAGTATATCTTCCGAGAGTTTGCTGCTCATTGCAGTTTGAGTTCTTCCCTGACAATATCACGACTCACATGCAAAAACTAAAAAGTTACAGACTCATTAGGCATGAACAAAGCACAATTAAACCATTTTCAATTCCTTTTCTCTTTTAGAATGTGCATTAATTAGAAAAGTATTTATTTTATTATTTAATCTTATAAACAATTAAGAACTTCTCTTTGTAAACAGTTAAGTAAAGTTTTTTAAATAATAACATTAATAATATATTACGTTGAGTTTGAATCTCATTTAATTGAAGTTCGAACAAAAAATGAGGCAAGGGGAACTCAAGGATGTTTCCAAACTATGTTACCAACCACCCTCCATTGAATATTTGGCGCGACAATATTACTATATAAGATTAAGAAAAAATTGATTACGGTGGACGATAACATGTACGTCTTCCTTTTCCATCATTTAGTGGGTTTCATTCCATGTGATGCAGTGCGAAACAAGGAATTCAAGCAAAAACCTTAAAAACACGAAATTTGAAATCCACAAAATTTTAAAGAAAATAAACTCACGAATTTTATTAATGAATGATGATAAAAAATGAAATAACACCCCTATTTATAAGGGTTTATGTGAAAACGTAGTTTAAAACATCTAAAAGTAATGAAAACAAAGTTTAAACGACCTAAAATTGAAAAAAAAAAAAATCCAAAATAAACTAAATTACAAAAATAGCGCCAAAATTTTAAAAATTAGTTTTTGAGTCCTAAATGAACTCGAATGGCCGAAATCCATCGTACATCATGGTGTACTGGTGAGTATTATTCGTCTCGTCGTCCTCTATTTGAAATGGTCTTATTGACCTAATCCAGAATTCAGATGTTTTCCATCTACTATTACATTTTCCCCATTACGTCCTACATGAACATGCATAATTATTATCCTTCAACACCAAGTCTTTTTCAGAAGAATTGCTAATGCTAATAGACTTAGATTAATTTAAATTTTATGGTTAAGTTTAAAGAAAAGGCTCTCTGATTTTTTTACCTAGGTGAACCTAGCCTTGATACGAACTTATTTTAGAACTCTTGATCAGGAGCTTTCACATGAGAACAGAATATGCATATTTATGAAAGCAACACAAGGCGAATAGGTAGTGAACATGGAGAGGGAGGACCATTTTATCATTAGGAAGAAGCAAGCATATCTCCCAGCAGATGTTACTACTCACTTTTTTGTGGCAAATTTTTTATTCGGACGAATTCAAAATCTTGATTTGTTACGATATGTTCATGCTTGTCCTCATGGTTGATGAGTTGATATTATTAAGTTAAGAGTAATTCAATTCGCTACAACCTTAATTTTAATCGTATACATGTGAAAAAGGTGAATGGATGTATAACATGTACTAACTCAAAAGGATCTTCACATATAAGGAAAATTAATCTTAAATAGGGAGCAACATAAGATTCTAATATTTTGCGTCTAAAATTTGGTTGTATGTTCTTTCATTGAACTTGACTAAAAGTTTGTTTGCCACAAATCTTTTTAAAATTATTTTTAACCATACTCCTTCAACTTTTCTCCACTTTTTAATTGTACATTCTACAAAAAATAAAATAAAAATTTATTTATTCTTTGAAAAATGCTGTGCCAAACATGCTTTAAGTTTGGATTGAACATTCTACAGGCTGGAAAAGGATTTTTTTACACCTACACCAGCTCGGCTTTAAGTATTATTTTACTTATAATTAAGGATTATCTCTCAAGACTTTGATTGTTTATTTATTTTGAAACTGTGTGTGCTCATCGTGATTAGCTTAAATTATACTTAATTAATTAATAATAATACTCAAATCTCTTCTCGAAGAAGAAAAGCTTTAGATAAGTGATCGTCTTGTGGTATTAGAAAAAAATCATTATTTTACATGTAATTAAAGATTCTCTCTTAAAATTTGATTGTTTATTTGGTTTGAAACTGTGTGTACTCGTCGCGATTGGCTTAAATAATACTTCAGTAATCAACGATAATAGTCAATCGATGATTTATCGTCTTCAACTATCACAAAAATTTGCAATGAATATTTTTCATTAGAAAGAAAATATTTAATTTATAATCCCATTATTATTTATGAGATTATTTATACTATTATCCCTTAAATATGTTCCTCGATTTTGGTAGGGAAAACTGAACTTTTCTCGTTAGAATAAAGTATTAAATTATTGTATAATAATAGAAAATACACAAGTCATTAACTGAAATGGACACTCTAACCTGAACTTTCTACTCTCTACAACACAGAAGTATGTCCAAGCATTTTTCCTTTTTTTTTTTTTTAATAAAAAATGTAATTCTATTAAGATAGATCATCTTGTACGCACGGGGAAATAAACAGAGGGCATGCGTCAATTCGATACATATCACCAGCTAAAGTATAGGGAATAAACTTATTTTTGCTACTCATAACATTCAAAATTAGTGTTTTTGGAAATAAATTGTCCTATATATACTTCAATTATCTTATTTGAAAATCAAATAATATCGAGTAATAATAAAATAAATATTTATCATCATTATTAGAGTGATCCAACTTGTATATTTAAAAATGATGTTATTGTGCCCCTCCCCCCCGGAGGGCATAGCTCAATGGTGCAAAGGACAGGAGTGAAGGACAGCCGCAATGTGGGGATTCGATTTCTGAGACATGGAATTGAACTCCTTGTAGACGCAGTGTACAGACAGCTCTTGTTCTCTGGTCTATTGAGGCACATTTCGCGATTTACCTCCCTCACAAAGCTCTAGGGACGGAAGGGCGAAAACTCTCAAAATTGGGGTTCAACTTTTTTTTAAAAATCACGTTATTGCATCTCAACTGAAACTTTTTTATTATTAAAAAAAAGTAACTTTTTAACAAATGGATGAGAATTCCAGAATTTCCCTCCACGTCCACACCTCGCATGATGCCAAATCATTTCATACTTCAGCAATCCGTCACTCCCGACGCACATAAAACCGCACTAAAACAAGAAGAGATCCCATAACCCCTCTCTCTCATACACACACACACGCACTGAGACTTCTTGTTTCTTAAGCACCTTCCTTGAGATAAACTGGCCGGAAAAAAATGGCATCTACATGCATCTCAAACTGTATTAACGACGCCCGTGTTCCGGTTAGAGCCACCTACGTGAATCTCTACAAGTGGCCGGAATCGGACGCCGAGTTTGTACGATCAGTGAGCTCTAAAACCCACCGGAATGGCCCAAGTGGCGGCGCTACCGCCTACGGCCGTCCCCGGGTGGTGGACAGTATCTCATGTAGACAACTGTACCTAAGAAGCTACACTTTCTCAAGGGAAGAAGATTATAAGGATGATGAGAAGACCATAAAGTGCCTTGGAAGGGGAAAAGAGAAGCAGACGATGGATAATAAAAGAAAAAGAAAGTCTCGTGGCCGTGGTGGCGATCGCGGCAGCGGGAGTGGTGGCGGAAGGAGGAAATGTAAACGGTTTAGAAGGGCTAAGGCTGTATCCTGCGCCGCCTTGGTGTCCATTTTCCGGAGGTTGCTGTCTTGCACCACCGAGGTTGATGTTGTCAATTAATAGTAATTATATTTTCTTCTCCTTTTTATCGTATTTATGACATTTTCCTTTTATCAATGTTTTAATTATACAAAGGAAGTTTATAACGTTATTCACTCTGAAGATTTGTATTTATCTATGTTTTTAGACTTTCTCTAGTGAACAATAACGAGTTTTCTTTCAAAAAATAAAAATAAAAATCTAAATCTAAACTTACTCATTATCTTGTTAATCACTTATTAGCAATTATAATCCATTTATTATCTACGTATTTCTCGAGATCTATTACTCATCTTCGCTGTAATCTCATTTTAGATGTCACTTCTGTCAAAGAGTAACCAATTTAATCTAAATGAGATTGCTACTCCCTTTAAATCACACTGAATTGATATAATGAAATTGATTGCGAAATACTTATGCACGTGTCAAATAGAGATTCGAGAATTAAAATGTTGTACGTGGCCTTATTAATCACCTCATACTTGCGTATAGCATGTGAATTACATGTTTATGCAATAAATTGAAAATGAGAGAAAAAAAAAAAGAAAAAAAAAAGCATGTACATACTTATCATGGATGTCACGTAGTCAACCACTTAATTTCGTGCGTAGATCATTACTTGTAGAATGCAACGATATTAATCGTTGATTACTTGCATATCAAATTCTTCTATTATAAACAGAATACTAGATTGTAAAATGCAATGCTGCAAGCACACATTAATAAATTTGTATACACACAATCATTTCCACACCGTTATAAATCATTAAATTACAGTATACAACGATATTGACCATCAAATATATACTTGTATGTAGTTTGTCAAATGCATATCTAATAGAAGTAAATTGAGGAACACAGTTATCTTAATTATGAGAAAAAATTTGGTGGGACAGTCAAATCGTCCTATATAGTGCGATCGTCAAATGAGAAGTCACCATCCTATCGGGTGGCCCACTCCCACCCCCATGAGATGAGGTTACATTGGGACTTATTTTTTCTCTGTTTTCACCTCAAATTTTGAAATGGTCTCACCTCATGGGGTAGGGGTGCACCACTCGATAAGGTGACCGCTCCCCATTCCTATGTGGTGTTAATGTCCCACCAAAATATTTCTCCTTAGTTACTTGTGTGTTATGTGCACGAATCTACGACAACAGAATAAAATTTTTGAACTACTTTTTGGGTTAAAGAAATTGACGCAATAAGAATGTGCACCCATCAATTTTATTTTTGTCGTATAAGGCTATTCAATATTTCAACTCAATGTATAGTGCATTAGTGCCTAAGTGGGTCGGCCAAAGTAGTTTTCAGGGAGTTCATTTTTAATAGTATTCTCCAATATCCGCCACAAACTAAAGTCGTTGAAAAATTGATAATACAAAAGGTTCTTAATACTTTCTGCCTTTTCGTATCTTTTATTTTTCATAATTGTTTTAAAATCAAAAGAATAATGTATTAATTTTAATGTGTTTACTTAATCTTTAAAAAAAAAAAAATTAATGAATGATGATTAAACTATTGTACTGACCAATAACAACCTGGAAGTGGAAAGTCAAAGAATCCGATACATAAATCCGTTAATAAAAAAATTGAAAAAACTTTTTACTGTGTGGCTTAGCCCTTGTTTGTTTCCCATTATTTGGCCATTATAATGAAAAATATGATCGTTATCTATCACATCAAGCCACCATATTTGAATTTCTCTCTTATATGGAGCTAGTAACGGCTAAAATTTTCATTCTCATTCTTACATTAACGAGAAACAAACGGGGCCTTAAGTTATATAGGAATTCCAAAGGACTTTTGACTATTATTTTGTTCCGTGGGATTCTACCTTTACTGCTCATTCTGGAACCGTCGAATAAATTCAATGCAGTCAATCTGATCTCTACGAGAAGGACTGATTTGCAGATGAGGAATTAGCATATCGACTCGCTTTCATCTTGAATGTCAAATCCAAGTGCTAAGCATTGCTAGATTAATATTATGACAATAAATTATTTATCCATTTGGCAAAATTTATAAATGGTTCAACTTCACTTTTAGCTATACATACTAATGAACATTAATGATCTCCTAAGCATTCGTGACATGACACACCAATTAATTGATGAATCATTAAATTCATGGGGCTTATCATTGACTTATTCACTAATAAATGATGTACCATGTTATGGGTGTTTAACATAAGCTAAGCGACAATGCTTAGGAGATCATTATGTTGAAGATAATACACAATTACTATCTACACCACTTATTTTTATTTATTTATAAATTAAACCGTTTGTAAACTCTCCCCAAATGTCTATTTAATTTTTTTGTCCCTCCATTATGTTAAAGATAAAACCCCATGTAGATTAAACAAGATTGACATATTAACATAAATATATATATCTAAGTGTTCTTAAATGAATGATCGTCTTGCATGAACATGTTCAGCGTATAATTCGACACAGATTAAATATGAAGATAATAAGAGTAATGTTATTTGTAGATGTTATAGTGATGAGATGGGAAATGTATTTCAATTCATCGAAGATTTAACAGTGACCCCACTTTCATATCGAAGTATTTAGAATAACTTTATTTAGATAATACAGTGAACTATACTGCAATAGTCCGACTCACATTTAAAACAATAATTATGTCCTTAAAAGAAACAAAACGTCTTCCTCTTTTAACCTATTAGATATTGAAATCACTCTTATAATCAAAACACCTTTGACATTCTCTCACGACAAGTATGTCAAAAATGCATAATTTTTAATAATATAACTTTGAAGAGGATTGATGATCAAGTGGGAAATATGATGAGAAGGAGAAGTAAACCATAAGCAAAGAAGAAAAAGGCATAGGCATGCGCCAAATAACTAAGGATAATGATATGAAGGAACTTACAATGTAGGTAGTAGTTGGGTTCATCGCCATCATATTCACCATTTCTTGTTCTTTTACTTCGTTATGCTGACAGCACTTTGTCAAATTATGATTTGATCTCTTTAATACAACAAAGACAACCAAAGATTTATTATTTATAACAGCTACTTAAATTATAGTTTATCGTGTATTCGGTTCATTATTACATTTGTCTATTCTTCACGATGGCAACAGAATATAAGCTAGTCTTGGCCTTACCCATCTAAGTTCTAACACGTTTTCACTTCAATTAATGAAACTTGAGATGACTATGAAGAAGTAAACGAAGCTGAAAGATGCCTAAATAAATCAAACTATGCGGGCACATATTTACCCTTTTTTTTTTCCGCTCAATATTATGAGTAAACTTGAATAAGAAAGTACACACTTCTTTTCTTCTGACTTATAAGTAGACTTATTAGTCCATCAAAATAATTATTCTAACAAGAAAGATAGACTTCAAAATAATTGATTCTTGCATTAGTTGTATTTTACTCCATTTTCCATGTTATTTGGTAGGATGCGTGGACTTCCAATGAAACGTCCATGACTGCATCGACTAGGGTTTCATTTAGCAAGGTATTTTGCCTGAACAAAGGCCTCATCAGTCTTAATAAACCTTTGTCTTGAAATCAACAGGTCCGCGACACCAAGCTCTTTTCATAATTACTCTAAGAATACAATCAATCCCGAAACTCTGGGACGGTTCTTTTTCCTTTTATGCCTACATTGAAGCAAGTACCTCCATGGATAATTTATTTATTTATTTATCTATTTATTATTATTATTTATTTATTGCACTCTCCGCTTGATGGGCCCTGGTTTCCTTAGCTTGGTGGAGAGGGGGAAGAAAGGCTAGCTGTTTTAGTGGACTTCTTGGGTTTAAAGATTTTGGCCATTCATTTACAAATGGGGTATGTATCCAATTTTTGTGTGATTGAATTCGGAAAAATAATTGGGGTGGTGTTACAGGCAAAATTTCATATATAAGACAGTAAACAATTCTAATTTCATATTTAAGAGTTTATGGTTATTGTATCAAATATCAGAGAATCTTGTGTGTGTGTGTGTGTGTGTGTGTGTGTGTGTATACATATATATATCGAGAGAGAGAACAAACCATTACAAACCAATCCCTTAAATCAAGCTCCAGATTCCTTCTGTGACTGGACCTATGATTAGAAACTTACTCCATAAAAGCAGCACCATTATTCACGCAGAAGGTTACAAAACATTTACACAAAATTTGTCTCTTTCCATTCCTTTCTGCTGTCGCTGAAACCGTAGACCAGTTCACGGGGATTTGTGTCAATAGCGGAAAAAAAAACCCACAAAGACAGTGACTCATCTATGTAGCGGATCTATAGAAATAGAAGGTACTTAATGTTTCTTTGTTTATGGTTCACCACAGAATATTGCACGGATTGTTCATTTCTGTAACCTAAGTTTCCATGGTTTATGTGATCCAAAAGTGTGTGACCGTCTAGCGCTTGTCTGAAAGAAGTGTGTGACCGTCTGTAACTTAAGCACCATTGATGCATGTTGATAAAAAGTGTCACACAACCTTTAATATCGTTGTGTCCCGCAATAGTCGGCTGTGACATTAATTTTCCTTGTAAAATTGTGCAGGATGGATTACGTGCATGTGTGTTTGTTACATGGATCACAAGTGTCGTTGCTTATGGTTGATCGCAATTGTAGCTATACGAAATTGGTGAACAGTGTCATCAACGAGTTATGTTTGGATCAAACGAAGGTAGCGGTCACACTTAAGTACGAACTGACAAGGGATCTCCCCCCAGTGTTGATAAAGAATGACAGTAATGTAAATTCCTACCTCGTGCTGAAGAGCCTAAATTGTGACCCTTTAAAATATCCATTTACCGTTGAGGTCACAGCAGTGGATGGACATGAAAAACCATTTGAAATTTCAGCTGGTATACGTACCAGTGAAGATATGTTTTCGTTGGTTGATATGTCATCAAACATATCTGATACAGCAATTGAAAGCGTGTGTCACATATACGAGAGTAATGTGGAAGTGGCGAATGTGACCGATGGAATGGCAATAAAAATTGGAAGGATATTTCGGAATAAGGAGACACTGAAAATGAGCTTGACATTCTATGCAATACATAATATGTTTGAATATATGGTCGTTCGTTTAGACGAGAAGGAATATCTTGTAAGGTGTTCCTGAGAGGAGTGTAGTTGGATATGTAAATCATCCAAATGGGTACAATAGATATGTTTGAGATAAGACGGATGGCTGATGGTCACACGTGTGCTACAAATATAGTATTGGAGGCTCATAGATGAGTGACAGCATCAGTTGTGTCCACATGCATCAGATACAAGTACAATTCATCCCAGACAAGGTACACTCCAAATGATATACGCAATGACATGTTACACAATTATGGGGTCTCATTAAATTATGTAAAGGCCTGGAGATCCCAAGAAAGAACATTGAAAATGCTTAGAGGTGATCCAACGGATTCATCTATGATGATACCAAGCTTTTTTTTTATATGTTAGATCAAATGAATCCCGGTATAGTCACAGGATTGGAACTTGACAGTCACAATAGATTCAAATACTGCTTCATGACAATAGGTGCATCAATTAGAGGATGGCAACATTGTAGACCTGTGATTGTAGTTGATGCAACGTATTTGAATGGACATCATGGCGGTACACTGTTCACGGCATGTACGCAGGATGTGAATAATAGCATATTCATTCTTGCATTTGGGATTGGGGACAATGAGAACAACAAATCCTGAACATGGTTCTTCGAACAATTGAAAAGGGCATACGGAAATAGGAAAGGTTTCTGTTTTGTATCAGATCGCCACAACAGTATCAAGAATGCAATAGAAATGGTGTATCCAGGGACATATCATAGGATTTGCTCATACCATCTACTACAGAACCTAAAGTCATATTTTGGCAAGTCAGGTCACAATATAACACAGGCATTCAACTCGGTTGTTCGTGCATACACCCTAGCAGAATTTGAATATAACATGCAGCAATTTGATTCAATTAATCCGAAGATTATAGCCTATTTGGTAATAATCTATTGATAGTCACATTAACATACATTCTTCTATGTCGCAAAAAGGATGTGTATATAAATGTTGTTATTTATCCTTGCTTGTAGGCCGAAGTGAACCCCGAGAAATGGTCAAGATTTCACATGCCAGCTAACCGATATTCTATAATGACTTCGAATATAGTAGAATCTGTGAATGCAGTGACAAAAACAGTAAAGAACTTTCCTGTTGTGGCTCTATTGGATTCTTTGAGACAGACTATACAATATTGGTTCTATAAAGATAGGGACACTGCGTTCAGTACTTTCACAAAGCTGTCAGGGAATTACGAGAAAATTTTAAGAGATATGAGTTATGATTTGAGAAATTTCACGGTATTGTTTGCATTTTGTAACCTGTCTTTAATGACTATAACTTATCCTCTAATTTGAAAGTAGGTTGACATTAACTGTCACTAGAAATGATCTAGTTTTGTGTCATTATTTGTAGGTATCTCGTACAAATCAAACCATTTTTTCTGTTTGTGATGATAGCTTGTCATTTATTGTTGATATGGAACAATGTACATGCACAAGTAGGACATTTCAAGTGGATCAATTACCCTGCCTGCACACCCTAGCCATTATTGCAATGATGAAGATGGATGCATATGATTATTGTTCATACTTCTACACGAGGGATGCATACATCAATGCTTATAAACACATAGTGTTTCCAATTGGAAACATCAATGAGTGGACAGTACCGGATGAAGTTTTAAACGTAATTGTGCTGCCACCAAACCAGAAAAGAAGTATAGGAAGGCCATTCGAAAAGAGGAAGAGATCATCTTGTGAAGGCAAAATCATAGTCAAATGTGGACATTGTTGTAGAAATGGTCACAATCGCAGAACATGCACTAGTTTGGTTCCATTAGGTCAAAGATGTAAATGACTAGAATTAGTATATAGGTAAATTCAATACAGTGTATGACAAATGAACATGCAAAACATTCATTCGTGACTTCGTCATTAAACCTATGCCTTATTGGATGTCACATGTCTTGAATCCTAATGCTAATCATGAAGATGTATAAATGGCATCAAGATTATAATATGTGACCGCGTTTTGATTTAAAAAACATAAAATCTGAGCAAATGAATGATATATACATTTGTGTGTTTTTTTGTTTGTTCAATAAATGGTTGTAACCTATTACCCAGATAGGTAATTTGCGATCCCGGCATAATATATACGTAGATAAAATTTTTTTGACAACCGTTTATATATATATATATACACACACTAAGTAATGTGTGTGACCTCCTTCAAATCGTAATTTGTGACCGTAATATGATATACAAGTGGGACTGTGAACATAACGTGTATGTGATCTATGATCCCAACATATTATACGTGCGACCTTGTTGTAGATTGCACTTGTGACGGTAATATAATATGCAATTGTGACCGGGTATATACTGTGACCTGCAATGCTTTTGGGGTCCCAACATAATATACGTGTGGCCTGTTGTACAATGCATTTGTGATCATAAAAAGGGTATGAGATTGTGACCGTTTACATACTGTCTATGACCTGTGCCCTGCAATGCTTTTGACATCCCAACATAATATACGTATAGCCTGATGCACAGTGCAGCTGTGACCGTAAAAAGGTATGAGATTGTGACCATGTATACACATTTTGTGACCTATGACTTGGTATATACTATCTGTGACCTGTGACCTACAATGATTTTGAGATCCCAACATAATATACGTGTGGCCTATTGCACAATACATCTGTGATCATAAAAAGGTTTGAGATTGTGACCGTTTACATACTGTCTATGACCTGTGATCTGCAATGCTTTTGACATCCCAAACATAATATCCGTGTGGCCTGTTGCACGATGCATCTGTGATCGTAGAAAGGTATGAGATTGTGACCATGTATACACAGTATGTGACCTGTGACCTGATAAATAATAAGTAATTGAAATTTGCCTTGTACCAACATATAGTACGGCATATGCAACATAAAACATTCTACTTAAGCATAAAACATCAAAAGTATTCGTCTAGATAACAAAAAAACTAAAAATTACGAATGGTCCTTCCATTACAAATGTGGCATCAATAATCATAACATTTTCGAATATCATCTATGACTATACCCCCCCTCGACCTTTTCGTTTCCTCCTTTAGTTGCCTTCTTGATGTCACGATGTTTGAACAGCTGTGCGGCTATTTCCAACCTGGCTCTGGCAGCATCAAACTCTTTGGGCATGGACTCCAAGTCATCATGAAGAATGTATTCAGCATAATTGATAACAAATATACCGCAGTCGTGGCTGGAAAAGATGTAGAAAGTTTGTTACCTTTCACATCAACAAGGACGTCACACTTACAATATTTATGGAAACATATAATTGGTAGAATACGAGATGATGGTAAGTACCGTACCCGTTTTGCTATTGTGGAACATCATAACCTAGCACGATCCTCAACTCCATGGAATCACCTTCATCATTATATGGATCCTTGGTCCAACAATCGCTCTCATCAGGTGAGGGATGACTCTAACGAATGGTTCAACGCCGACACGAACGCATAAATCTGGGTATGTCCGTCTTGTTGAATTGAATATAGACATTGTATGTTCTTTTATGTCAAGAATATCCAACATCCAATGAGCCTTGTTCATAGGCAAGATTGGCATCAAAACTCGGTCCACTTCAGACCATGGACAGCTCAAAGGTAGTCGGACACCTATTACATCATTGATGAGCCACATATTAGTTAGTAGAACATTTGGGTCCTTCTTGAATCGAGGATAGACATGCTTGATGACGGCCTAAAAGTGGGAGTCAATTGTGGTGGCCTTGTTCTTGAAATTCTCCCCATACAATACCAGTTGACGTATGTAGTAAAAGCAAGAGTCCATGTGCTGTTACATGAAACGGGAAAAAAATCAGCATGTTATCATTTGTGTGACCTGACATGCATTCCTGATGTGCACTTGGGATCTGTGACCTGATATACAATTGTCTCTACGACTTCCATATGTGTGTGACTAGCATACAAAATTGACAACATCAATATCTACGAACGTTGTGGCACCTAGTATGCTTACGTGGGATGAATAAAGTATATATGTGACCTGAATTAACTAGTTGTGACCTAATTAAATTTTTTTGTGGTAAGGATATCGATGTCTGTAACCATCCCAATCACCGTGAGCACGATAAATCATGAGGCATTAGTACATCATGCTTGATAAAGTCAGAAACATTATTTGTGGTCGAAGGTTACCATGTTAGTAAGGGACAAATCTGATGATACGAGGTCATGCCACCAAGTTTTACTACCGATAACGAATGTTCCAATACAGAAAGGAGGCTTAATAACGTTGTCGAGATCGTTAAATTTTTTCCTACGAGATAAAAAAGAATATCAGTGAACATTATATCATCCATATGAAAATTCAATGCTGGAAATGTATTGTCAAACGTACTTACTTGTTTGTTGGTTGGTTTGTAACCTCTGTGAAACCAACTCTTAAATGCAACAATATCAGCATCATCAGAATATTGATTGTAGAGACGAAAGACTATTATATTGTCCAAGCTCTTGCTATGTTTCCCTTCATTAGAAACGAATGGGGACTGCAATATACGCGCAGGTCTGGAAACCTGTTTCAATGGCAGTCCAAATGACCGTGCTGATGTCGAAGATACCTGTCATATAGTGAAGTATTAATTACAATAGTTCATGTGTGACCAAGTAATATCTAATCTAATACTCATTTTCTAAATGGTGATTTGGAACAAGTCACATTCTTATCAGTAACTTCCGTGTCTGCCACTACATGGGACGATATAGTATCAGTTTGTTCTTGTAATTGATGTGTTCGAGGTATATCAGGGTAGTTAGATACATGTTGAGTAGGCTGGGTACAACCAATCCCCAAATCAAATGATGGTGGTTCCAAGTTTATTGGGTCGAAAGTTTGCACATCAGGATACATTTTCCCTTTCCTTTTCTGTCAACAGATGTTTTCCCTTTCCTTTTCTGTCAACAGATGCATCAACATTTTTTCCCTACACGAGACACAACCATGAAAAGTTAATGAATGCACTAACGACTGCGTAAAATGACCTAGGAAATAGATAGACATACCTCTTTCTGATTGGATGTAGTTCCAGTGCATTTTGATTTACCTATCTCTTTGAACATGTCCATTATTTGATCTATCGAGCTAGTTACCATTGCGGTCACAGAATCAGATAGAAATTTCAGATCTGACTTTATCTCCAGCAGGTCAGTCCTGATATTCTCTTGCACATGAACAACGACATTGAGCTTGTGACTATTGTCAGCCTTTATGGACAGTAACTGTTTCCTGACATCATCAATTTTCGCAGACAACTCCGTATTCTTATTTTGGAGATCAGTAACATCATGTTTCAAAAGCTGCAAAATGGAAAGCATATGAGAATAAGTCAAATACATGTATAGCATAAGATATTGAAGCATTAATTTGAATGTAACCCTATATACTGGACTGTGACCCACATATTGTGAAAGGTCACACAAAAATAAATCAATGTGGCGTCAGACAGATACATGTATATATGACTCATGTGCAAAAATTGCATCACATTTGTGTCTACTAAACGATAATGTACAACGTGGTCAGAATTTGTGACCAACATTGAGGCCACACATATGAAAAGTATGGATATGGACGTACTTTGAAATCAGCTATATATGCTGCATGGGGTAGAGACATATGAGCGGATGCACCCTCATCCTTCGGTGACTCCACATACATCTTGTCTGGCTCCATTAGAGGGTCCATGGAAGAACGGACGAGGAATGATGTCTATTGTCGTCGCAGAGGTGGATCAACGAAATCATCATCATCGTCATCGTCAATTTCGATATCACTCGAGTGACCTAATCGTCCATCAGTAATCATTAGAATGCGTGGCTTAGACTTCTTCATAGTTTGGTTGATCTTTGAGCTTCTACTGTGGCGTGATAGCGATGGTTGTTGTGGTTTGTTATATAGAACACCATCCATATACAGCTGCACCATCTCCATCTCAGATGACTTGATGTCCTGATCCTGGAGCTATTACAACAAGAAAAGGTAAACTAGTGGTCAAAGCCGAATGAATAAACAATGTGTAATGTGGATTGTGACCAAAAATGAATAACTGTAACCAGATTATTACACTTATGGCATTTGCTGCACAACAGAAACATATGGTCTTAGCTATGTGAATGTGACAGTATAATTTATCGTTGACAGTAGAGCGAAAAAAGTGTAATGTCACTGCATGGTTTGAAGTCTGACCTAATCTGTGACCTGATCTAGTAATAAACAATCAAGTGAAGACTTACATCGAGCACGGAGAACACGTCCTCTTCGAGTTTTGAAGCAGACGGTAGTTTATCTGAACTCCAGTTCAGTATACATGGGTAATTGCTTCCAATCCTAGAAGTGACAGTTACGTCAAGCCGATTAATAGACTCGTAAATCCAAACTTGAAATGCCACAAGAAATCGTTTGAGTCTATAATGGGGATTTCGATTCTTCAATCCATCTTTCAAAGAGGTTATGGAAAGATCAAACAACTCTTTCGCAAACGGAAACATCTCCAACCTCTCAAAATCTTCAACAAGAGCGAACAAATAATTGTCAACAACTTTCTTGTATGAGGCTGAAAAGATGTATGAAGTTATCAAATAAAGAATCCCAACTTTCACCACTTCATAATCGTCCTCATTTGTCATACCAATGAATATATCTCTAACATCTTCGTTTGTGACTACATTCAGGTGTCCAAAATTTTTTTCCTTAATCTTGGAATGTGAATTCTGAAGACTTCTCCTAACATCCTGACCATGGTATCTAACACCTGTGACCAGACAAAACTCAGGCA